GACTGTTGATAAAAAAATAAACCTGGAAAAAGACAATGAAAGCTCCTCAGACAGCTATGAAAATATAGAAGAGGAGTACAATGAAAGTGGGAGTCCGTTTGGTCAGCCTATTTCTGACAGTGGTGGGAAAACCTCTTCTGATAGCACAGTGGAGAACCCAGAGGACAGCATATCCTCCAAAGAAATCATAGAAGAAAATACATTACAGTCTCCAGAAAAGTCTGATCAAAAACAAGAGGAAAGCTCTAAATACGAAGCGATTATTTCTGCTGAAGAGCCAACAAAACTGGTAGGTGATGTCTCGGATAGTGACGGTGATCAGGATGATCAAGATGATGCTGTTGAATGGAAAGATGGAGCTTCACAGTCTGAAAGTGGGCCTGGTTCTCAGCAGGTTTCTGATTTTGAAGATAATACATCAGAAGTAAAGCCAGAGGTGTGGACAGATGAATCTTCCCAAAGTGAAGATGCAAGTAGCAGTAAACCAGCTGTTGAGACAAAGGGGGGTGGATCTGAAAGTGATGAAGAACAGTCAAAGTGGAAGAATCGTTCCTATGGAAAAGTAGAAGAGTTTTGGTCCAAGGACCAGTCGCAGTGGAAAAACGCATCAGAGATTGAGGAGAGCTTGTCAAATCAGCAGATGGAATGGCAGAATAGCACAATTGACAGTGAGGATGGAGAGCAGTTTGACAGTGTGACTGATGGAGTAGCAGAGCCAATGCACAGCAGCTTAACCGGCGTGGAGCTGAGCAGCCAGCAAGCATGAGCTGCTCGGTTCAGAAGCGTCAGTAACAAGGTCCAGTCTACAACTGTTGAAACACTTTCATTTCAATCTGACTGCTAAGATTACGTTTTAACTGGTACTGCCTTTCGAGTGCTAGGTCATGGCATGTGGTGGTTGTGGCCACTGCTGTTCCAGTGGTTATTTAAGGACGCTGTTGGCTGATCTTGCTTGAGAAAACCTGCTGGGATGAGCACAGTAACTTAATGTGAAAATGGATAAGCTGGTGGCTCCAGAATGCACACAGAGAAAAGCAGAGGTTTATTTTATCTGCATTTTCAACATTTATTTCACTCTTGTACATGTTCAGTTGTATGTCTTTTTAAACATTACCCTTTTTCACATGGTAGTGTAGGGCCAGCCATACAAGCTACCAGTTCAACGTGTATAGTAGACTATGGGGGAATTGATTTTTTTCATGTATCATTCTGAATAGTTGAAATGTATATTTGTACAGTCTTTTAGACCTATTCAAGTGAAGCTTATGAAATTGTTCTTGTGTACCCATCATAGATTTGTTTCTCTTTTTTAGTGTTGCCCTGCTGTGTAATAAATGCTGTATCTAGTTTACCTAGCAAAAGCTTGAAACTGCTATAGTATGAATTTTGACAGACTTAGTTTTTGCACATAACCTTGTACAATCTCAAAACAGAGGCCAGCAACATAAGAAAATATATCTGGACTCTATTGTATTATAGAATTTTCTTGTTCTGAATATCCTTGACATTACAACTGATGACAAACGTATTTCAGAGCCATTTTCTGAAATCTTTTAAGCTAAAAAAGAAAAATCACATGCAAGAAACAAGTTTGCAGCTACTAATTTTGACACCTTTTAGATCTGTATAAAAGTGTATTGTGTTGAAGCAGCACACTGAAACAAAAGTGCTGTGTTTTGGATATTTAGTTTTATCTTTAGTTAACACCAACAAGGTGTTGTATTCATTTATACCATCTAATATATGACACACTGTTGTAGTATGTATAATTTTGTGATCTTTATTTCCCTTTGTATTCTTCATTTAAGCATCTAAATAAATTGCTGTATTGTGCTTAATGTAAATATTTGCTTTATTACATGCAAATGCTACATTCAGTCCTTTTTTTTTTCGCTCCCCAGAGTGCTGCACAGCCCTGCTGGGGGGTGTGTGTGCTCAGCACTTCCTTATGGAACAGACTGATCTCCTTCAAGGATGCTGAAAATCCCACAAAACCAACTTGGGTTGAATTTGTCTTTCCTATTCAGTGTTATACAATACTAATTTATAAACAGGATTGTAGTGATTTGCTTGTTCTGCAGCCTGGGGAAACAAGGTCTATGAATTACTTGCATTTTTCATCCTTTTCATCAATTAAAATGTTATCTAGAATTGTGCCTCTCTGAAGCACTATGGAATGAGGGGAAATGATTGCAGAGGTATTTGAATACTTGCCCTTTACACATGACTGAGCATGCCTTGCATGCTACAGACTTGTCTTGGCTTTGAAGAAAAAGTAACTTGAATACTTAATAAACGAGTGTGTTACAAATTGGGGATGGGTTTGGTCAAACCAGTCCAGCATTTTGGCAAGTGTGCAGTGTAAGGCAGCTGTGCTTATCCAGAAGTAATCCTGAAGGGATCTAAATTGTGAGTAGAACAAAAAACTGTCCTTAATGAAGAGCGATGAGTTTGCTGTAGACATGTCTCATCAGTATCAGAGTGCCTACTTTGGATATTTTACAAGAGCTAAAATGACCTGTGAATTTTTTATTAATGTTGTTCTGTGTTCTTCAGTTTTAAACATTTTAAACAGCAAAACCATTTTACAGAGATGTTGATAAAACATTTAGCAGTCTCTGGTGGGTATAAGCTGTATTCCCACCTGTATAACAAATGAGCCAGTATAATCCAAAGATGAGAAAATGTGTATGGTCCCATGTTCTGCAGCTCACTTGTGCTGCTGCTCCTCTTTGGAATGAGCATTTCTGGGTGTTGTTGAGCTCCTTCTGTGTGTGAAGTGATGACTGAAAGTAGCTACCAGTAGGTGAAGATGAATGAGGTTTGCTTTGTTCTTTTCCCCTTCACAGAAGGCATGCATACTTTCGTTCTACTTTTTTAACTCAGAGGAGTAGAAGTTGGACTGGCTCCCAGGCATGCACTCAAGCGGTAGAAGATACGTTTTAAGACTAATACAGGAAAAATACTTTTGCATTCTACATGAGCAAAAGAGCTCCTTGTGGGTTTTTCTTTAAAAGAAAACTTGAGCCTTAACTCATGTTAGGAGGCTTTCCATTTCATTGGAAATAACTTTTCAGTGAGTCAGGCAAGAGTCTGTAAACTACCACTTACGGATGCTGATGGGTTGGTAATCCTCTTCCCAGCAAACCCAGGCATTCCAAGTTCTAGAAGAGGTTATTCCTTTCTAAGAAAACTTGGTTATGTTCCTTTCTCACTCTGTAGGCTGCTCTGGGTCACAGGAGGCTACTGCCTGAAAACTGAAGACATTTCAGGGTGGTTTGTGTCATTTTGTGGAGACTTTAAGAGCTTTTACAAATGCAGTTCTAAAAAACTTTAATTGAATGAATGAATAAGTAACAAAAAACTCCAACAGTTTAATGGCAGTGCCTTTATCTGTTACCCAGCTCTTTTTCTCACTGCTTATCATCTTATGACTGAATCATACTTGTCTCAATACCTGATAAGGCTTATTTAGTACTAGCAAACAATAGGTAATAAATTTCTGAATTCTGAGCTTCTGTAAATGAATAGTAAGACTGAAATATGAACTCTGGAAGGGCTTCATTTGCCAGAAAATTCTATGATATGAAATACCATTTTATATAGTGATTTAAGTCAAGGTCTTGTACAAAAATAGTCTGTCATACCAGGAGTATCAAGAAGGATTGAGGATGGTTAGTTTCAGTTTTGGCCTAACCCTTCTAGTATTTTAAACAAGTTACTCTTACCTGGATTTTAGCCTTGGCAAGAATTCCTGTCTACACTGAATTGCTGTCTACATTGGAGGCTAACCACACATTCTTGTGCAAGTCAAAATGCAGAAGAGGTAAATGGCCCAATAAAACTGAAGGAACCATAAACCCAGTTTGTGTAATCTTAATGTACTGCACCATTATAATTTTATGAGATGGAAGTTACCCAATTTTTACATACATTATTAAAGTTCTGTAGCGGAACTCCAGAAACATGCCAGCTGTGCTTGCAGAGGAGCCAGCTCAAGCTGACATTTACATTCCTCTATATTCAGTGGGAGACCCTGAATACATGAGTCAGTCCAGGCTTTGGCCAGCACAAAGACTATTGACTCTTCTCTGAAGAATTTCTTCAGGCAGTTTGAATTGAAACAAAGTGAAGTGTGGGTTCTGTTTTAAATATGCTATCTATAAAGGTTGTAACAGTTGAGAATGAAGTTGGAGGATATCAGCATAAATATCATTTCTAGACAGAAGACAGCTTTGTACAACAAAAAGAACCAGCTTTCTGCGCTGATGTGACCTGCAATTTGGCTTTTGAGGAATACCCAAGAGTGCCAAGGACAGTCAGAGATCATTAAGGGTAGCTGCATTTTATATGATGCTTTATTGCTGTGGGTGTTCATAAGGGCTTGTGCTACCTGCTGCTTGGGAGCTCATTGCACTGATCTGCAGCTGAGATGCAGTGGTTCAACAAGTATATGCTCCCTTTTAGCACACTCTTTTCTTCCGTCTTTACCCCTGCCCTTTGAAGCATGTTGCAGCCAATGTGCTTCTCTCCAAACTAAACAGTTATTCTCCAGCAGGGATAGACAGATGGCTTTTACTAAACTCCCAGTTTTCTGTCTGGTATATCATACACCAAAGTCACACTTGGATCTCTGCTTTTCCGTTTGGGTGTTGTAACTTAACCCTTGAGCTGCACTGGGACTTCTACTCAAAACCTTTTTACATGATGCTGCAACACACCTGCATTGAAATTTTATTTCACAAGCTTTTAACCTACTGCAAGTTCAAGTGACATTTAATGCTGCCATCCTCTGTTCAGCAGCAACATTCTGGTAGCAAGAACTTGCCAATTAATATTTGAGCCTTTGACTTGCATTTTCAAGACAGAAATCTGAACATTCCCTCAGTATTTTTATAGGAAAATTCATTCTTACCACCAAGAAATCAGTAGCTTTCAAATACCCACTAATACAGTAAACACTTTACCATTTTCTTGTACATACATTTCATACACCACTGTGGTATTAAAACAAGTTTATTTCCATTTTTATCAAAACCAAAAGATTTCAGGAGTTTGTTCTGTGAACTGCCTCTTCATTTCTGTTAATAAAGCAACTGATACTTGGATAAACAGGTTGGTATAACTAAAGTGTGTTCTGTTCCTCTCATAACTTACCTGCCTCACTGTAACACCAGCTTGTTTATAATAATCCATTACAGTAACCTGCATTGCAGGGGCAGAGACAGTGACTAGACCTGACTTCTAGTGCTTTATGTTTTAATTTGACTTTATCTTTCATCATCAGTCCCACTAATAAATATGAAAAGGTTGAGTTCATTTATTTCTGCAGCAGAAAAGCATTGGTCTCCATGGTTACAGCCATGTAGCTTTACTTGCACCATAAGCTGATTTTTTTCCCCTTCACAGAATTTGCATTGGATCCTCCATCTTGAGCTTTTTAACAGGTATTTTTAAAACAAGAGCATTTATTTCTATCTGCACACTGGGCTGTATGAATGTATGCAAAGCCAATCATCTGGAAAGTGCATAACCTCTTCCTAATGCTCCTTATTCAGAAAACTGAGTGGGTTTGGGTTTTTTACATCTAATTTGAAATAAATAAAGCTACAGGTGCAGAGATGAACTGTGCTACTCCTGGTCCTGCCTGAAGAGCATCTGCGTCACAAAGCAGCACACCCAAAGCTCCATAACAGCTTTGCAGATAGTTTATTTATACCATTCAACTTTTATTACACAACAGCTCATAAACCCCTATTCCTGTTTTGAAGTGGAGTGCTCAGAGCTTCAGCCATGTGCTCTTACTGAATTTTTAAATTCTGACATTGACTTCTCTTGTAAAATCTGATCATTTGTGCGTCAGCGAAGCTGGCACCATTAGCACCGGACAGCTTCAACAGGCTTCTAAAGCACTCTTCACCCTTCTGACCATCTGACGTATAAAAACGTGAAGATAAACAAAGTGAGGGTTTGTACATTCTCTCCATTGATTTCAAGTGCAAACTACTGTGATCAAATCTTAGAATATACGTTCCAGCCTCCATATAGCTAGTACAATATGATCAGAAACTTTTAGCTTCCCTTGCAGATGCTAGCCAAAGATCTGAAATGTAACAGTTGCTTCTTCCTAATGTCACAAAGTATGAACAGAGAATAAACTCAGACAGCCTTTCCCAAAAACTCTTTTGTAGCCAAAAATTAATTACTTTGATACTTGGTACCTACATAGTTCATAGGAAAAAAGGTCTCCGGTTCAGTTGTTTGGGTAGGTCACAGGGGTGTGCTGCTGACAGACGATGTCTCTGAAAGAAAATACGATGAAAATTAAAGAACAGGCAATGCTACTTTAGGGTGTTGACAATGTAAGAGACATGGGGTGGGGGGAAATCACCTCATGTCTGAGATTACTTTACAGTACAAGGTCATTGGCTTTGTAACCAATGCTGGTAGTGTGAAGTTTACCTTCACACCTGATTCTACTGACTTGGCAATCTTATCTGGATTAATAGTGAACAGATAAAAATAGAGTAGAACACAGGGGAAATTAGCTTTATAGCACGGAAAAATGCAAATTAATTGGTAACCCTGGAAAATACTGACTCCAGAAGAAATGCAGAAAGGGATTTGAGCTTGCTTCTGGGGTGCTTAAGAATTCAAATAATTGATTAACCCTGAATTGAGGAGATAAAAATCATTTTTCTGTAGTGCAGCAATTCAAACCTCTAGCTAAAATCACAGTCTCAATGGGAGATGAAGAGCCATCTTTCCCATAAAGCTAATGGTCTCCAGGCTCTAAACTTAACCTATTTCCAGAGAACAGTTTGCTATTTAGATGTAATCCTCACATTTATTTGTATTTAATTCTCATTCATATGTTTCAAGCTGTGCAGCTGGTTACAAACATCCACTGCTAATTCTTTGGAACAGACACTGGCTCTCCATAGCCATCTAGGCACAACTTAAGAAGTAAATACTCATTATACTATCATCAAGGTACTGGCTGGCAGAGCTGCAGCATGGACAGGAGTTCTGCTGATCAGCTTCTGATTTGCACATCCTGGAGATCAATACCATGCTCCACAGCGGCATTTGCTAGCTGTTAGAATAGACACACTTTGCTAGGGGGAGAAACATAATAATCACCAGATGCATGTGGTTATGAAGTTTTTATGTCCAGAACCAAACAAAAGGAGATGGGCTCCTCATAATGGACAGTATACTAAATGTAAAATGTAAGGGTTTTCATCTAAGACTGGATATCAGCAGTCACAACCACTGAGTGAGACACAATGAAGAATCTGAATTGATCATATAAGAACTACTAGTAATGAGGTTCACCTCTGCAAAACAGGAAAAAAACCCTAACCAAAGCAGCAGTAAACCAGCCACCTGTAACAATTCACAGGGAATACCAACATTTCCTCTATTCTCCCTAAAATAAAAGCAGAGAGCAAGGAAAGTTGAAGGTCGCTCCAATTTTCAAAGGGAAATAATCTGTCCTTCATTTCTAGAACAATACTGCAGTCGTCACACCAGGAGAAAACAAGGCAGGAAGTTTGTTATGCATTACAGTAACTGAACTGAAAGGTGGGTCACAACCTGCAGAAAGCTCTGATCAGAGCAATCAAGTAAGGACAAGAGTCTCTCTAAAAGCAGACTCAGGATTCGCCATATCGCATTAAATCACTGCCCCACTCTGTTTGTAACCAGTTATTTTAGGACTTCTTAGCACTTACTATCCAGAATTCTTCCAAATAGATGATGCCATGATTGAAATAATAGTTTAGGATTGTTTTTTTTTTTTAGATCTTTGCAATAGTACTCTGATGCTTTGATGAATAATACCTTATTATAATGGTCCATAGATACACTTGTTCCCTTCTGACCTGCAGATACTGTATGTTTTCTGCATACCCTCTGTAACTCTGCCTCCTCCTATTAAAGTGCCTCCTCCTGTTTTACATCTACCCCACCAAACTTGCACCAAGGAACACTCGTTACCATCTTATATTAAAGGAACTACTTTAGCCTTCATTATCTTCAAGCATGGCTACTGAATCCATAGTAAATGAGAGGCAAAGACCCCAATCCGTATGACTTGACTGTTTTACAAAGAAAGGTTCTGAGAAAAGCTTTCTTTCACAGTGGCACAAATGCCACACAGGGTTAAAAGACAAAGGCATAAGGAATCTCTGTGCTGTGCACATCACACACACTGAAGATGAAATAATTCCTTTGTGGTCGGGCTGCTGTGAAACTTAAAGGAAAAGTGATGTGGTTGCCTGCTAAGGAGTCAGGGGGAGAGAAGAGGGTGAAAACGTCTTGAAATTCCAAAGCCTATTGAAGTCATCAGAAAAGAAAGGTTTAAATAGTAGCAAACAGCCTTTCACCTCTAGATCACTTGATTCATGTGTGTCACAATCTACTAAAGGCCAGATTATGGCCCTTAGGAAGTAGCTGCTCTCATTAGCTACAGCCATACCATAACATACAACCACTGGTGACTCAAGCAGTGGCTTGCTGAAGGCCAAGTGGCATTAAGGTTAAACTGTCTTTATGTCTAATCCAGGCTATAAAGGCCTTGGGCAAGGTTCTGCCATTTCACTGGCATCTATAAACACCTACAGCACCTATCCAGTGTAAATACATATCCTTATTTCTCCCCTTATCAATTAGGTGAGGCTTGAGACAGCAGAGTGTAGCAAGCTTACATTGTACCTCAGAAACACAAGATGGAAATAGGTATCTTTGTTGAGATGCTCTATAACCCTGTATAATTCACCCCAAACCTGCAAGCTGTTAATGAACTTAAAGATCCAACAATGAGTAAATAAACTGAGGAAATAAGGATTATAAGAATTATAGAGGAATTTAGTTTTTGGAAGGCAGTATACCAAGTTCAGATGAAGCTAGATCAGATAGTAAAAATGAAAGGATTAAAACATTTGTGAGAGCTTTTGAAAAATAAAGTATGCACAACAACTCTGCACTTGCAGGCAAATAAAAGAAATGGCATGTAAAATCATGCCTGAAAGATTAAAACTTGTGGTTGCAGCTTTAGGGACTTCAGTCAGTTGCATTTTAACAGGCAGTAAAGTTATCCAGGGAGACAAGTTGTGTGACATAGCATCTAAGGCACTAAAAGCACCCCTTGAGAAATACAGTTTGAAGCCCTGAAAGCCAGGCCCCTGGTGGATAGAACTAAATATGTGAGAGCAGGAAGAAAATGACCCATTTAAGAGCACGGTGGTTACTCTGACAACTGCAATCCAGCATCAGAACAGCAAAGCTGGGTCAAAAGGTGATCACTTACAGGTTGTATCACATCCAGGAAACAGCTTAATTCACAGACAATTAGATTCTGCCTTCTATTGAAGAAAAATAAATGCTGGGCTGAGTGTGTTTGCTTGCTCAGTTCCATTTTCACTGCCAGGCTTCAGTCAGCCCGCACAGCAACATCACTTTAAGGCAAGTGCTCTAAGAACTGCTGATGGGAAACAGTTTTCTGTGTCCACTTCTATCGAAGAATGGATCCAGAAATCCATTTTGGTACCGCTTTTATAGTGCAGATGCAAGACATCAACCCCTGTGGGACCATGAGCTCAGGGCAGCTAGACCAATTCACTGTCCACCCCCGGCTCTTCTCTTTCCCAGCAGCCTCCCAAGCAGATCAGGAACAAGTAGCGCTTCACCTGCCTACATGTATAATGAATACACTCTGGGAAGCAGCCAGGCAAGTGCAGTGGGTAAGGTCTTTTTGTGGTGCAGGGGCACTGGTACAGTCAGAGCAGAAAGGTTTGGCATCATTATAAGGATTTCTGACTCTATTCCAAACAGTCTGTTTATCCAGGCTGCTTGTGCTGTGCCTGACCACCACAGCTAAAACACGGAGCTGCTTTCACAGAGAAAAGAGAAGACTACCTACAAAAAGGAGGATGTTTTTTATTTCACATAGAAGAAAGTTAATGTTCCACATGCTGCATCTCTGGAAATGCAGCTGCTAACTTCATTCTTACTCTGACAGCAATCGTTCCAGCGCCATCAAAAAAAGCCTCCTTCAAGGTTACTGAATTTAAAGCCTTAGATGTCTTTACAATAACTGTATACTGGGGTAGTTACCCCTCTGAACTGAGTTCCTGATCAATTCTGCAGCTTCAAAGCAGAGAAAGAAGTAATATTAAAATTTAACTATTCTATGAGTTTGTCCACTCCGTGAGATTGTGGCAATGATTTTCCCTGAAGTACTCTTCACGTTTCCAGAACTCCTGAATCCAATTCTTTCACATCTGCTGCCTACCACCTGAAGCAGCACTAAAATACCTTTCCCTTGACATCAATAAACATCTTTGCTCCTGTTAGCTTACAGTGAAAGGCCGCCAAGCTCTCTGGAGTGGATCAGCACCGCTGCAGATATCCAAAGAAAACAGAGCAGCTCAAGGAACACTTCTCTGCAGAAACCTGCAACAGAAATCTGAGTTCTGCTCTGAAAGATAAAAGGAGATTCTTGGCTATCTGGCAACAGTTACTCTTCAGATTTGGTCATTCTTACAGGTATTAAATCGATGCCCAGACTTCAGTCTATGGCAAAACCTGAAACCTGTTTCTTCAGCACCTCCAAAATCAAGCAATTATTCTCACTCTTTTCCAACTAAGTTTCAAAAATGACAATTTGGATTCCTCTTGATCTTAACTTTCAATATAATTTTCTATGATAATGGTAAAAATTTTCATTTCCACTAAAACAGATTTAAAGTTCAACATACTTCTTCAAAACCCATCACCTTTGACTTTCCAACCAGCCTCCTTTCGATTGCACATCCAGCACAGTGCTGGTGGAATCCTGAGACACACTTTGGGGGAGAACTATGACCTGAAGAACCAAAATTTGTCTTCACACGAGCTCTGATGCTGAGCACAACAAATCCTCACCCACACGTTCTCTGTTAAACACTTACTGTGGACCAAGGAAGTCATTTAATAAGGACGTTTTTAAAGAGAACAAGGGGTTTGACATCCACTAATGCTGTATCAGAGACCTCTTTTGCTCAGGCTGCCTTCGTGGTAATTCTTATTTCCCATTTGTGGGGCTACTAACCCCACTCTGCCAAGACAAATGAAACCCAGCTCTTCTATAGCAGGTGCTTAATAAACATGCTACTGAAGATGTAACATAGCACCTCATCTACACCAATGGGAAGAAACAAGAGTGTAAAACCAGTGTGAAGTCTTATCCTTAGCTAGTAGTGTAACTTCTCAGAAACTTCTTGAAGCTTCTTGAAGGTGTTTAACCAGCGTCAAGAAG